GGGATGGGGATACAAGGGCGGCTGCCAGTCGACTGGGGGGGGCGGGGTTACCTGAGGCCACGCGTTTGGGGGGGAGGAAGGGGTTGCGATTGTTGACTCGCGAGGTGGCGAGGGCGGCCGTCATGGGGAGGTCACAGCGGCGTCAGCATGAGCCTGCCCCTGACCATGTGCAGGAAACATTCAGGGGCCGCTCCCCTGTGTACCATTACGTGGTTGTCAGCCAGAAGGTCGACAACAAGGGGGTCATGATGCTGCGTTGCACTTTTTGCAACAAAGTATTTCAGGGGAGCCAATTCCAGGCGACGAGGCATTTCACGCAGACGAACTACTGCAAGGACGTTAGCGACGAGGCTTTGTACGAGATCGCGCGACGGAGTCAACAGAAGTTCGAGAGCGATCAAATGGAGAGGGTTGCCAGGTACGCAGCGGAGCGCGGAGTCGATGTGCCTGACACAGGTGGTGTGAGGGGAGGAGAGGCGGGGCGGCAGCCCGTGGAGGGAGCGTCAGGAGGGGTCGGGGGAGATGGTGGAGGTGGAGATACGGAGGAGGGCGTGATCGACGTCGATCGCGAGGCGCGTATCCCGAGCGAGCAGGGAGTCCCGGGACACGAGGACATGCCTGAGGTTTATCCAGGCACTGGGGAGAGGATGGAGGACTTTTTGAGGCGAGCAGCCAAGGAAACTGTAGGGGAGGGTTCTTCCAAGAGGAAGGAAGGTGGAACAGATCCGGCCGCCGCCCCAGCTGGGAAGAGGCATCACCAGCAGAAGGTCACTGACGTCTATGATGGCGAGTGGGTTGCTCACCACAAGAAGACATTCCTTCGCTGGCTCTATTCCAGCGGGGTCCCCTTCAATGCCTTCCGCAACCAGGCTTGGAAGGCATACCAGCAGGTCCTTCTTGAGCAGCCCGGGAGTTCCCCGCGCGCTGTGCTCCCCAGCGACAGCGAGATTGCGAGTATGCAGGCGGTGCAGACCTACCGTGAGGAGCTGGCGGAGGAGTTGGAGGAGGTGAGGCTTCCATTCTGGATTACTGATGCCACCCTCCTCTCCGACGGGAGGAAATCACGAGACGGAAGACCGATCGTGAATTTCCTTGTTGCCGGCTTGCGAGGGGTCGTCGTCTACACGACGATCAATCGCGAGGGCGAGCCGGACGATGCAGTGCACGTCCTTCGGAGATGGGTGACCATCTTCCACGAGTTCAGTGCGGCAGCCCGCAGCGGGTCAATGCGATATGCACAGACTCCGCATCGGCGTACGTGGGGGCTGCGAGGGCATTGGCCTCGCCGGGCTTCCCTTCTGCAATCAGCAGGATCACTTGGCTTCCGTGTTCCGTCCATGTCTGCAATAAATTGTTGTCAGACATGGGGACGAGTTGCGACGCGTTTGTGGACGCGATTACACGCGCTCGTGTTCTGGTGGTGTTTTTCAAAACCCACCAGGCAACCCTTTATTTCTTTAGGAAGCGCAGCCCCAACAAGGGGCTTGTGCTTTCTTGCGAGACGCGGTTCGCGTCTGTTTATTCTATGTTGGAGAGACTATTGACCCTTTAGGACACTCTGCAGGCGATGATGCGAGGGGATGAGGGGCGGGAGTTTGCTTCTATACTGTGGTCCGTCGATGTGTGCGACATGGCGCGTTGGGTGCGCCGGCAGATCAGATGGGAGCCTTGGTGGCACACGATGGCCACCATAGTCCACATCATGCAGCCCGTCATGGAGCTCCTTAGGCGGATGGATCGTGGGGGGCAGTACATGTCCATCATGATCGAGTGGACACAGGATCTTGTCCGCCGTGTCACTGATGCATGCGCTCCTTTGGGGAGGGTTTTCGCTGACCGCATCATCAGGCGTGTGCAGGCTCGCACACAGCACATGCTGGAGCCTACTCACTGCGCGGGGTTCTTACTGAACCCCCGCAGGCGACATGTTGAGTACTTTTCGGGCGAGGTGAGGGATTACCCTCGTTGGCTTGTAAGGCAAGCCAAGAGGTACATTTTGACGCAGACGGGTTACGAGGAGGATGGTGTGGAGTACATCAT